GACTGGCACTCAGAACGATCGGTCTCCAGGATAGGGCGCTGGACCTCCAGGGCCATCATCGACAGGATTTTCAGCAACACCGAGACCAAGGCAATGGGTCTGAACTCGGCCACCTTCTGGGCCTCGGGTTTCTCGCGGATCAGCTGAACGACGTGCTCAGTCCAGGCCTGGTCGACATACTCGCTCACGTGGTCGCAGCGTCTCAGGCGAAAGGCCGCGAGGCTCCGTTCGAGGGCGTCGTCCTGGAGTCCCTGGATCATCTCAGCCGCGATCATGTCAGACTCGGCACACGGTTTGCGACTCTTCATTTGCCCCCATACTGTTTTGAGAACAGGAAGGGAGAGAGGGGCCGCAGCCTGCTGGTGCTCGGCGGCCCACTGGCGATGCACCCAGGCGGGCAGGGCCTGGTCGCTGGTCGGGTCGGCGAGCAGGTTGGCGTAGAAGGCGCGGGTCAGCTCGCAGCGGGCCTGCGCGGTGTTGGCGCTCAAGCCGTCGTCCGTCTTCAGCTCGCGCACGGGCTTGCCCGAGCGGTAGGGTCTGTCGGCCCGCCCCCTCGCGCACAGTCGCTCCAGGTGGGCGGCGTTGCAGCGGCCCCTCAGGGCGCGCTTGGCCTTCGCCACCGTGGGCCCCAGCAAGTGCCGCACGCGGAGGTCCGACTCCTGCGCGCGCAGCTGCTCCAGGCGCTTCAGGTGGAGGAGCTCGGGGTCGCCCTGCGGGGGCCCCCAGCGCCCCCGACGAGGGGCGCGGCCGGCCACAGCTGCGCGAGCGGTGATCGCCGCCGTCAGCGCGGAGATGGAGGGGGTGCCCTGTCTGGAGCACGCGGCCAGCCTTGGCTGCGGGTTGAAGAACTGTGCGAAGGTGTCGCCGCCATCCTCCCTGGATATATCCGAACAACGTCGTTTGCGGGCTCTGGTCTCGGCGATCTTGCGATCGCCAACTCGTTTGCGGTACTCTTCCGCTCCCCAATCGTGAGCAGGGCATGGCCGTCTCCAAAGGGCTGTGCGAAAGCGCCTGTCAGCACCTCGTTTCGCCCAGAAGTCCGCCTTCTCATTGCCAATGTTGCCGCTGTGCCCCTTGACCCAGCATATGTGCAAGTCAAAATATGCAGCAGCCCTCTTTCCACAAGTGCACGGCCAGGATCGCCAGAGGAGCGTTCTCACGCGGTTGGAGTACTTCGGTGGTGAGCCCCTGTACGCACGTCGAGTCGGCAACCACCTGGGTGAGTCCACCGTCCTGGGCCGTTGGCTCCGAGGAGCCCCGCTGTCCCAGCAGCCGTAGGAGCGCCTCCACGATCGCCAGAAGCTCCCCCGTGTTCGCTGTGAGGGAGCACGCGCCCAAGTAGCGGGGGTCCTGAGGAGTGGTGACCACAGGGCCACACGCCTCGACCAACGGCTCGCCCTGGTCGCGCGGCGAGGTGGTGCGGTAGACGGCAAGGCCCCATCCTGCGCAGGAAGCCTGGCGCTTCCCATATCTTCGCCCCCGCGCCGAGCCGCCCGTGAAGATGCACAGCGCGTTCGCGAGGTCGCCCTCGGTGAGGCCGTCCGTCGCGGTCGGGAAGTGCGGCACCTGCAGCGTCGAGCAGACCGTCTCATTGAAAAGATGGGCGTCCTCCAGCTGCCAGGCGACGGGCTTGTGTGGCGGTCTCTCCATCAGGTCAGCGTCCTCGATGGCTTGCTCGTGCTCGGTGATCGTCGGGATAGCCTTTGACGCATGGCACCGCAATAGTATGGGAAGATGGTCGCTCTGCTCTGCGTCCGTGAAGCGGGCCTGGCACGTCATTGAAGTGAGCCAGTCGCGATGGCACAACATGAAGTCGACCTGTCCTGGCTCTTTTCGGTTGTCGTAGTAGCATGCGGCTTGTCCCCATTGTCCTCGTGAGAAAGTGCTGGTGGCAACTAGGTTGGATTCAGTCATCAGATCGAATAGTATCGCCCCCCGCCATGTCATCTTGGTGGCCGAGTGTTGGCCAACCGTTTCTCCGTCCAAAATCCCCAGGCCGTCCTGGGCGCCGACGCTGACTATGGCATGGCAATCAATAGGCATCGTGATCAGACACCCCCTGAGCTGCGCGATGGTCTCAGCGTACTCACAACGAACAATGTGGGAAAACTGGTGGCTCGTAATCAGACGAACGTGCCCCCAGACAGGTAGCTGTAAGTCCAGGGACATGGTGCGAGTGTGGAAGCACGGCGGGCCCACGATGGAATGGGGCCAGGGATTCATGGACCGCTATCGCGCATCTGTGCCAGACCCCCGCTGGAGGCGACACGTGAACGACATAGCCATCGAAGGGCTGCGCGGCTCCACCAGCCACGCACCACTCTTGGAAAAGGATAACTCGAGCATCAAATTAATCATGCAAGTCGTCGAGGAGTTGCTGCCGCCTCCTGGTGCCACGGACACCTCTCACATTCCACCCCAGGACTGCGAGGTCCCTGACGTCCCTGGCGAAGCGACGGCCCCTCGACTTAAATCACTGGGGCCTGGGCGGGTCATTGATCTCCCCGAGCCGCTCGGAGAGCCTGAACTCGGCGAGCTCCTGGTCTAGCAGCGCCTTGGCCAGCGGCTCGGTGCAGATCTCCATCAGATCCGTGGTGCGCGAGCGCTGCAGGATCCTGATCGGCCTCTCGTTCCCATTGCGACGAAAGACCACCTGGCCGCGGTCCCAGTCGCCGTCGAAAGTCTTCATTTTCGAGTCCGCTGTGCAGAGGTTCTTGGCTTCGCCATGTTCTCTGAGCAGCCTCGCGGCATAGGGGACTCGCCTCGACAACTCCACCTCGTGGGGCTCCTGGTCAACTTTGTGCCACAGCTGGTCATTCTTGGCCCCCTGGCATGGTATCTTGCGACCCTTCCAGGCCTTCATGAAATTCCACATCTGCCGATTGCTTCCGAAAACCACCTTCGCCTGATCACAGAATCGCCCTACACCGTAAATCTCAGTGATGCCCTGCGACTCGAGCGAGGCCCTCTCGCTCAACTTCGCACGAAGGTGGGTCTCGACCTCGTCCTTGTCCCACGTGCCAGGAAAGCCCGCCACGAAGACCACATGCTTCGTATTCTTTCCTCCGCGCTGAGCCTGGGGAGCGACGAACTGATTCTGGTCGCCTGGGCCTCTGCGCAGGAAGTCGCTCCACGGGTCCGCCTGGCACGCCTGCCCCGAGCCCAGTCCACGTCGCAAAGGAGTTCCGCGGCCAGCGGCTGTGCTGGCGTTTGACGACGGGGCGCGCGAGGCTGCCTCCAGGGCGTCGAGCCTAGCGCGCTGGGCCCGCTGCTCAGCCTGGATGGACGAGATGGGGGCCGAGCTGGAGTTCACCGTGGTCTGCAGGGCCGCGACCTGGGCCCCGACGGCGTCCACCTTCACACTCATGCTCGTGGTCACCGCACTGATGATATACTGGGCCAATGCCATCTGCGACGGATCCTGCGGGAGTGGCGGCAGCTTGGCGCGGCCACCCACAGGGGCCGCCTCGGCGTCCGTCAGCTCCTCGTCGTCCAGCTCCACGGCGGCAGGGGCCTCGCCAGTCTTCTGGCGGATCCGACGGCCCTCGGCGTCTGGCCCCGCGACACCAGCGGCCGCGGCCGGGGGCGGGAGCGGAGGCATCGGCGCGAACATGGCTGCTGCAAAATGCGCGCTCCACGTGTCTATCAAAAGCGAGAGTGCGGGGTGCGAGAAAGCTCGGGCCAGGCCGAGCAAAGAACGTCTCAGGTTGGCGGGCGCTCGACCTGGACACGAGGAGCGCCCGTCCTGACAGGGTGCCGTCTTGAGCCAAAATGGCCCCCGATGGCGGAGCAGGTGCCGTTCCAGCCGCCGTGCTGCCAGGAGGAGCGCACGAGAAGGATGAAGGGGCCCCGGGGCACACAGATAGGCAGACACGAAAATAACAGGATCCCCCATCGTTCCCCACATGTTCGGGGTTCTGCCTTCCCCCCCCCACTTCCCATATTTCCCCATATCTTCTGGGGAGTCGACGATGAATTGTGTGTGTGTGTGCGTGCGTGCGTGCGTGCGTGCGTGCGTGCGTGCGTGCGTGCGTGCGTGCGTGCGTGCGTGGGTGTGTGTGTGTGTGTGTGGGTGGGTGGGTGTGTGTGTGTATGTGTGTGTGTGTGTGCGTGTGTGTGTGTGTGTGTGCGTGTGTGTGTGTGTGTGTGTCTGTGTGTGTGTGTTTTTGCTCCCCTCCTGCAAGGAGCGGAGGGGCTTTGCCGGCCGCGGCGGGCCCAGGCCACAGGCAGGCTCCACGACGTGAGGGCCAAGGGGGCGGCGCCCGAAGAGCCGAGCCCCTCCTGAGCCCCGAGCGGTGCGCGCTTCAGCGCCTCGACCGCAGGGGGGAGGGGGCCTCTTGGAAGGAGGCTGCCTCTCACGCAGAAGGCGCCGGCCCGACACCTGCGGAGAAGGCCCGCGCCTTCTGAGGGCCAGGGGTGCTTCCAAGAGGCCGTCCCCCCCTCCCTGTACCCCTCTGCGCGTGGCCGACAGGGAGCAGCAATGGCGGAGCCGTTCATGGTATGCCGTCCTCTGCCGCCGACAGTCGCACCGCCGGGCTCGCCGCCGACACTTGGCGGCGCGCGAAGGGGGCAAGCGAGAAGGCGAAGGCCTTCTCAGAAGGCGGCGCGGGACCTCTCAGAAGCCCTGGCGCCTCCTGAGAGGTTTCCTGTGTCTTCGGGCTTCGGGGAAGACTTCGGACACTTCCCAGCAGGCCGGGGGACTTCTTCCGACCCTTTGTTAGAAGGTCTTTTCCTTCTCTCCTTCTCCTCCTCCCCCTCCCCCTCCTCCTCCTCCTCCTCCCCCTCCTCCTCCTCCTCCTCCTCCTCCTCCTCCTCCTCCTCCTCCTCCTCCTCCTCCTCCTCCCCCTCCTCTCCTCCCTCCTCCTCCTTCCTCCTCTCTCCCCCCTCCTCCTCCTCCTCCTCCTCATCCTCCTCGGGAGGAGGGCTCGCCGCCGCGGCGGAGCCCGCCGCAGGAGCGCGGGGGGCGGGCGGCGCCCCGGGGCGGCGGCGCTGCCGGCGGCCTGGCCCCTGCGCCGCCCCGCGTCGGAGAACTTCACCTCCGGGGCCTGGGGCCGCTCCCGGCCGCCCTCCGCGCGCCCCTCCTCCTCCTCCTCCTCCTCCTCCTCCTCCTCCTCCTCCTCCTCCTCCTCCTCCTCCTCCTCCCCTCCCTCCCTCCCTCCTCCCCCTCTCTCCTCCTCCCCTTCTTCGTCCTCCTCCTCCTCCTCCCGGCCGCCCTCCGCGCGCCCCCTCGCCGGGTGCGCCGCCGAACGGCAGCGTGACGGCCACGACGACGACGCCGACGCCGACGCCGACGCCGACGCCGACGACGCCGCGGACGACGTCGACGCCGACGCCGACGCCGATGCCGACGGCGGCGGATGAAGCCGACGAACGACAGACGACTGACGACAGACGCCGACGAACGAAGACGCCGACGACGACGCCGACGACGACGAACGACTACAACGTTCGGACGACGACAGCTGACAGACGACAGATGACAAACGACGACGACACAAGACAGACGACGCCGACAAACGACAACGTCGACGCCGACGACGACGAATGACGATGACGACATTCAAACGACGACAAAAAACAGACTGCGGCGGCGGCGGTGGCGGCGGCGACGACAACGACGACGACAGACGACGACGACGACGACGACGACGACGAACGACGAACGACGTGGACGACAACAACGCTGGTGACGACGCCGACGCCGACGCCGACGCCGACATCGACGCCGACGCCGACGACGACGACAACGATAGACGACGACTGACGACAGACGACGCCGACGTCGACACCGACGACGAACGACGAACGACAACGACAACATTCGGACGACGACAGACGACAGACGACGCCGACGAACGACGACGCCCAGGAACGACGACTGACGACAGACGACGCCGACGACGACGACACACGACGCCGAGGAACGACGACGACGCCGACGCCGACGACGAACGACGACAGACGACAAACGACAGACGACGGCGACAGATACCAGACACGAACGACGACGCCGACGTCGACGCCAACGCCGACGACAACAACGAACGACGACGACAATATTCGGAAGACCACAGACGACGCACTACAGACGACGACAACAGACGACAGACGACGCCGACGAACGACGACGCCGACGCCGACGCCGACGGGATCTCCAGCCCCTTTCAGCGCTTCATGCGACTCCATATCTGCTGATTGTCGGCGAAGACGACCTTCGCCAGGTCACACAAACGTCCCAGTCTGTATACATGTCAGAGACGCCCTGGCTTCTCTGGATCCCTGACTTCTCGAGCTCCTCCTCCTCCTCCTCAGCATCATCGTCGTCATCATCAGCATCATCCTATTCAGATTCCTTCCCCCCACTCCCTCATCCATCCATCCAGCCTCCTCCTTCTCCTCCTCCTCCTTCCTTCGCGCGGTTCGGCCGTCCACCTCTTTGTTCCCGCGCTTCCCTGATCACCTCAACTCGCCTGGACATGGTTTCTGGACGGGCTGGCGGGGATACGCGAAACGTCTAGAATTCCTCGAGCGCTGCAGAACGCGGACCGGGTTCCCTCGCTGTGCTTGCGGCATACCACCTGGCCACGATCCCGGTCCGCGTCGAAAACGTCCTGTTTGGTCGCCTCCGTGCACAGGTCCTGCTAGATACCGAGCGCCCTCAAGATACGGACAACGAAGCTCACCCTTCTCGAAAGCTCGACCTCGCGCGGCTCCTGATCCACCGTGTGCCACAACCTGTCAGTCTTTGCGCCAGGGCAAGAGATCTCCAGCTCCTTCAAGCGCTTCATGAGACTCCATATCTGCTGATTGCCGGCGAAGACGACCTTCGCCTGGTCGCAGAAACGTCCCAGTCCGTATGCAGATCAATGACGCCCTGGCTTCCCTGGGTCCCTGACTTCTCGACCTCGGTACGCAGATGCTCTTCGACCTCCTCTGTATCCCACGCGCCAGGGAAACAAGCCACGAAGACCACGTGCTTGGCATTCTCCCCGAGCCCGCACGACGGCCTGTCCTGCGCGTGGCCGCTCGGCGGGGGCGCTCCGCCTCTCTGCATGTGGTAGGCCATCCACGGGTCGGGCTGAGCACCCATGACCGAGCCTGGACCATGTCGAGAGCCTGCGGCCGTGCTGGCAGCCGACGACGCCCCCCGCCCAGACTGGAGCGCCCTCAACCTGGCATCCCGTGCCCTCATCTTCGCCTGGATGGCCGCGATGTCGCGCGAGCTGGTCTGCTGGTCTCTATCGTGCGGCGTCGGGCAGTCACCTGCGTCTCGGCACCGTCCACGCGAGCGCCCAGGCTGCCAATTCGAAGACCCCATGTACTTCGCCAAGCCGAACTAAGCGGGGTCTGTCGGAGGTGTCGGCGGTGGGTCGCGTCGAGCACGGCCAGGGGCGTTCGATGCCGCGGCTGGAGGCAGCGCCGAACATCTCCGCGTCCGTGTCGGCGCCATCGGTCGGGCCGCCGTCCACCCGAAGCTCGCGCCCGCATCCCCACTCTGCGACGCCCGTGGGGCGGCCCTGCAGCCGCCGACTCGGGCGCGGGAGCAGAGGCGCGCTCCACCGCGGCAGCGGCCGTCGTCGCCATCCCGTCCGCTGCAGCGTGCGCGCAGGATGGTGCCCGAGGAGAAGACTGGCGGGGCCGATCACGAAACAACGATCTAGCTGGGCAGCTCGGCCAAGGCGTGCGTGTCCGGTGCCCTGGGCGCCGCCTCGAGCCACAATGGGACGACAGGGCTGAGCCTAAACGGTGCTTCTCGTTTCCGCTCTGTTTTCGTTTTCCTTCGATCTGTCTTCAATCCGCCTTTACCGCGCAACGAAGTCGAAGCGAAAGCGGCCCACGAAATCGCGAAAACACCGTTCCGGTCCGGCCTTGTGGGACGACGACGACGACGACGACGACGACGACGACGACGACGACGACGGCGGCAACGACGACGGCGGCGACGGCGGCGGCGGCGGCGGCGGCGGCGGCGGCGACGACGACGACGGCCGACGACGGCGACCGACGACGGCCGACGACGGCGACCGACGCCGCTGCGCGCGGGGCCTGCTCCTCGGACACGTCGAACGCCGGGCCCTCGGGCTCCTGGGGCAGGCCCAGGGGGGCGGGGGGTGGGGGGCGAGTCGTCGCCGCCGTCGGGGGCGGGCGGGGGGGGGGGGAGGGCGGAGGAGGCGGGAGGCGGGGGGGGGGGCGGAGGAGGGGAGGAGGAGGAGGAGGGAGGAGGAGGAGGAGGAAGAGCAAGAGGAGGAGGAGGAGGAGGAGGAGGAGGAGGAGGAGGAGGAGGTGGAGGTGGAGAGAGGAGGAAAAACAAGAGGAGGAGGAGGAGGAGGAGGAGGAGGAGGAGGAGGGCGAAATGGAGGAAAATGAGGAGGAACCAAAACGTGGCGTGAAAGGAGTTCTCTCCCCGCCGCATTCACCGACGTGAGCTCGGCAAGGGAGTGGAGGGAGGAGGAGGGGGAGAAGGAGGAGGAGGAAAAGGAGGAGGAGGAGGGGGAGAAGGAGTAGGGAGGAGGAAGAGAGGGAGAATGAGGATAAGCAGGGCAGAGAGAAGAGCGAGGAGGAGGAGGAGGAGGAAGAGGAAAAAGAGAGGGGAGGGGGAGGTAGGAACAGTCGAGACATGCGAGCATCGCGCCGAAACGGTTCGTCGGAATGTCCCAATTGCCCCGTCTAAAAACGCAATCGAATCGGATCGATCGCATCAATTTGGACCCTGGGAGGAGACGACGGTCCTCCTCATCGTTATCCAGGGTCCCATCCTCCACCTTCTCTCTGCCTCCTACACCCACCCTTTTTTTCCCTTGCGCGGAGCTTGGTCTAGCACCGCAGCGTTCGTCTACAACCCTTCACACCCCCCCAGACAAGCCCGAGCGGAGGCACCCAAGGCTGAAAACGCCCAATTACTCGATCGAAGGACCCAACCTACTTATCGTCGTTTTTTCGACCTCAATCGATGTCAAATGTTTCACCTGAAGACTTACTCGATCGATGTCAAATGTTGCGACGTCGTTTCTTTTCGACCCTTTACGTTTTGAACCGGACGAGCCAGCCAGCGCAACAAACCAGAACAACCAGACCTGCCAGACCTGCCAAAATCGCTCAAGGATCATTCCAAGACGTGCTGGGTAGGCAGACCAACCAACCAGATCAACCAGACCAACTGGACCAGCCAGTCAAGCCAAAGACGCCCAAATGACCCTCTAAAGCGCACGAAGTAGCCATGCCAACCAACCAGATCAACACGACCACACCTCGTACGCTCAAAGATCGCTCGAAGACGCCCACGGCGACGACGACGACGACGACGACGGCGACGACGACTACTGCTACTACTTCTTCTAGTACTACTACTACTACTACTACTACTACTACTACTACTACTACTACTACTACTACTACTACTACTACTACTACTACTACTACTACTACTTACTACGACTACTACTACTACTACTACTACTACTACTACTACTACTACTACTACTACTACTAATACTACTACCTACTATTATTACTGGCTACTGCTTACGACTCCTACTCCTACTACTTATTACTACTACTACTACTACTACTACTACTGCTACTACTACTACTACTACTACTACTACTACTACTACTACTACTACTACTACTACTACTACTACTACTACTACTACTACTACTACTACTACTACTACTACTACTACTACTACTATTATTACGACTTCGATGACGACTACTACTACTATGTCCATTACTACTGCTGCTATTCCTACTACTACTGCTACCATTCATACTACTACGTTTAGGACGATAACTACTACTAGTGCATCTACTACTACGACGATTACTACTACTACTACTACGACGACTACTACTACGACTTCTATAACTCGTACTACTGCTTCTACAACTACTCCAATTGCTAGTACTACTATACCACTACTACTACTACTATTACTAAGGCGACTACTACTACCACCAATATTACTACGCTTGGTGCTACTACTATTACTACGGCTAATACTACTACTGCTACTACTACTACTACTACTACTACTACTACTACTACTACTGCTACTACCACTACTACGGATACGACCACCACTCCTACTACAACTAATTCTACTACTGTGGTCAGTACTAGATATATTACAACTGCTACGGCTACTACTACTAAGACTACTACAACTATTATTACTACCACTACTACTACGACTACGATTAGCACTACGACTACGACTACTACTACTACTACTACTACTACCACTACTACTACTACTACTACCACTACTACTACTACTACTACTACTATTACTACCACTACTACGACAATTATTACTACTATGACTACTACCACTACTGCTACTAGTAGTACGACTACTACTCCTACTACTACTACTACTATTGCCACTACTACTACTACTACTACTACTACTACTACCTACTACTACTACTACTACTACTACTACCACTAATACTACTACTACTACTACAACTCGTACTACTACTACTACTACCACTACCACTACTACTACTACTACTACTACTACTACTACTACTACTACTACTACTACTACTACCAGCACTAGTACGAGTACAAGTACTACTACCACAACACGAGGACGGCTACTACTACTACTACTACTACTACTACTACTACTACTACTACTACTACTAACTACTACGACTACTACTACTCCTTCTACTACTTACTTCTTACTACTTACTACTTACTACTTACTACTTACTACTCACTACTTACTACTTACTGCTTACTACTTACGACTTACGACTTACTACTACTACTACTACTACTACTACTACTACTACTACTACTACTACTACTACTACTACTTACTACCTACTACCTACTACCTACTACCTACTACCTACTACCTACTACCTACTACCTACTACCTACTACCTACTACCTACTACCTACTACCTACTACCTACTACCTACTACCTACTACCTACTACCTACTACCTACTACCTACTGCTACTTACCACTACTGCTACGACTCTACTACTTACTGACCTACTACTACTCTACTACTACTACGACTACGACTACGACTATACCATACTACTACGATTACTACTCCTACTACTACTACGATACTACTACTAACTACTACTACTACTACTACTACTACTCTACTTACTACTACTATGACTTACTACGCGGCGAACTACTATGCGACTACGGCTTCTAACACCTTATACTTACTCTGATTACTACCGGCTTCTACTACTTTTACTACTAATACTACTACTACTACTACTAGATACTACTACTTGTACTACTATTACTACTACTACTATACTACTACTACTACTACTACTACTAATACTACTACTACTATCTACTTACTTACTACTTACTTACTATACTACTACTACTACTACTACTACTACTACTACTACTACTACTACTACTACTACTACTACTACTACTACTACTACTACTACTACTACTACGACTACTACTACTACTACTACTACTACTACTACTACTACTACTACTACTACTACTACTACTACTACTACTACTACTACTACTACTACTACTACTACGACTACGACTACTACTACTGCTACTACTACTATTACGGCTATGCCTGACACGCCCTGGGACCCTGGCGCGCAAAGCTGCCCCACTTCCTGCGATACCCCTGCGGTGTGGAGAACGTGCCACGTTTGCCACACCTTCGGACCTGGCACGCGTAGCAAACCCACCCCTGTGCCGTCGGAGGCGGCGCAAGGGGGTTGAGACCGCCCCTGACCACGGGCGGGCTTGATTGGACAGGACACCCAAGAGGACAAATGACTCTCTTCCGACGGCAGCGTGGCCCCAGAACAACAGGAGGACATCCGGGTTGTATGGGTCGAGATAGACAGGACACATGGGGTGACCCTCGATTTGGCATGGTCGACCTACAAATTAGGGCCGACTGCACTCGCCAGGGCGTTGAGACCGCCCCAGACTGCTCGGGGAGCCTATCGAGGCCAACGGGGACTACTCGGGGGGCCTGCTGAGGCCAGCGGGGGCTGTCTGCGCGCATCCCGAAGCCTCGCCATCCTTGCCCTTGGCTTTCCGGTCACACCTCGGCTCCCCGGTGGCCGTCTGGGACGCTTCCAGCACCCCTGAGGAGGAGGAGGAGGAGGAGGAGGAGGAGGAGGAGGAGACGGAGGAGGAGGAGGAGGAGGAGGAGGAGGAGGGGGAGGGGGAGGAGGGAGGGGGAGGGGAGGGGGAGGGGGTGGCGGCACCAGCGTGGAGCGGCCTCCACGAGGCGCAACTGATGGTAAGAGCTGCGGGCGACGACAACTCCCGAGAGTTCTTGAACAGTTTGAGGTCGACGCATGCCGCCGTGGGGCCACCCTCGCCCACCCCCTGGCGTTGCCCCCGAGGAGAAGGAGAAGGAGGAGGAGGAGGAGGGAGGAAGAGGAAGAGGAAGAGGAAGAGGAAGAGGAAGAGGAGGAGGAGGAGGAGGAGAAGGAGGAGGAGGAGGAGGAGGAGGAGGAGGAGGGGAGGAGGAGGAGGAGGAGAGGAGGAGGAGGAAGAGGAGGAGGAGAGAGGAGGAGGGGAGGAGGAGGAGGAGGG